TGCCAAACACTTTTAGCATCTTGAAATCCTGCCTCGGAACGTTTCACTCACTAAATGCATTGGCTGTTTTAGATTTTTAATAGTAATACTTGCACATAGAAAGAATTCTGACCACTAATATTTTGTATTCTCTTAAGGAAATTTTAGATGCGTTTTGCATGGTTGTCTTTCTTTAATTATTAATGAATTGTCCAGTTTCTTTAATTATTAAGTAATCGTACATTTTACACACTGCTTTCATATACCTAATGACGAGTAGCTTCAGAGATGCACTTTTCTGTTATTTTGCACTGATTTGTTGGGTTCAGTATGTTCCCTCTCAAAATCTACTCTCGATGCTGCGTTTCAATAACGCTTAGGAGAACATTCTTTGTTCAACCGGTTGTGAAGCATGTGTGTTAAACACCAAGAATTGGCTTAAATAACCTCAGTCAGTGACATCATTGTAATGCGTGCACCTGAGAGGTTATAAATGTATGCGAAATGGACACACCTTCATGTTTCTTTGTCTTCAGAGACCCCTTTGTGTGTCTGTTGAGCTGCTGAAAGCGGTATCATTTAAATGGAAGAAAATAAGTTGAAAGTGAAAGTTAAATCTACTTATTAATAATGTCAAGTGAATCTGCTTGGAGTGTTTGGGGGGAAGAACAAGCTAATCTCGCGCTCGAGGGCGGCGAGTGTGAGTACTGTGATTCACTTCCTATCCATGTGCTTCGCTTTAGGCTCACTGTCTTTCACAAATAACGAGCTGCTGCACCCTTGTTAGGATCGTATGTTGATCTGGATAAGGCTTGAGAGGCTGGTCCTCCACTTTCTCTTGTGCTCTCGCCAGATCTGGAGGTTCTTGTGCTTCTGAACATGCCCTGGCACTTCTTCGGATCAGACAGAGGACACAGCAGTTTTTGCTTCTGCAGAGATGGAGACTGAGAGCGAGTGCTCCTCCCACGATTATTAAACATATGAGGAGTTACTCATATGTTTATTAAACATATGAGGATTTACTCGAGGTGGTGACTTGTGCAGTGGTCAGATTAAAGCTGGATTGGCCACAGGAGTAAGAGACCCCCAAATGCTCCAAACTAGATGACAGGTTTCTGTCAGGAAGTCAAGTGTAGGGACCTCAGCGATGGTCTCTCCCCTTCTTTGGTGATTTCCATGAGATATCTCTTTCATGGAGTAAGCCATATTCATCCCCTGTTTTTGTGCCCTCAACGTCGATTTATATCATGGATTCAAAGGCACCAGGCTACATGATGATGTCCCAGGTGGAAAAGACAGACTATCTCTCCTCTGGAGGTGCATCATCACTCAAAAACCAAGCCATTAAGAGAAACATCTACACTTTTAGAGAGAGGCATATCAGGCTGACCTTCTTAAAGGTTCTGGGGACACCCAAGACCAATGTTACATCTTGTAAAAAGGGGCATAATAGGTGCCCTTTAAGTTCTGTCGAGGACACACCTCTGAGGTGGTCGAAAAACCAATGGAGATCTACACTTTAGGAGGGAAAGTTTTCAACTCTTTATTTTCGAGCATGGTAATTTGCATATGTAATTCAATTGGGTGTTGATGCAAAAACTACTAAAGATTCTTAGAACACTAATATGTTGCATAGGTCTCATTTAGATCATCAAAATGTGAATTTGTAGATACCAAACATGGTATATAGGTGAGTGTGGCGAGTCGGCTGCCTCCCCCCTAATTTATCATCACCACCCCATCCCTTAATCGCCGCTTTTCGCCAGGCTCCGGACAGCAGTGGGTGTGTGAGAGAGGAGGGGCGCAGAATCATCCAGGTCTGGCGGCATGTGATGAGGCACACCTGAAGTGAATGGAGCCTCGTCACCACCTCTGTTAAATGCCGAGCGCCTCTCCTCGGGAGACTGGTCTCTTCCCCCGTGCATGCACGCTGGTGTCCTTGTGGGTCCAGGAAGGGTGCGTAGAGGGACTCCTGCACTGCCAGAGCCACGAGCTGCCAGACCCACGGTCCGGATGTGAACCGCACCCGTGACACAGTTGTCGGGTCAGGATGCCAGGCCGTTTAATCCCCGAGGAAGCGCCGTGGGCCAAGGAGGACAAAGCCTCTCAGAAAAAGCCGCCGCCCCTCGCTCCCCGGACCAAGAGGGGCGCACGTGCAGCCGCCAGACTCTGCCCCTTACCTGGACCCTTCCTTCTCGAACACTGTCCCACCTTCACCATTTCCCCGCACAACGAGGACACCAGATCCCCATTTATTTTGAACACTATTTCCCCTTTGGACACTTTATTCCCGGATTTGGACATTTTGTGTTGATTTTCTGTTAATAAAAGCCTCTCCGAGGCCTGACGGAAACCGGTCAGGCCACGAGGACACCAGCGTGCATGCACGGGGAAGAGACCGGTCTCCCGGCAGGCACCCACTGTGTCTGTCGTTTGCTCCTCCCGCCACAGTGAGGTTATATTAACTAGTGGTCTATCATAAGCATGCATAAAACAGTATACAATACACAAGACCATATACAAGAAGGTAGTAATCATACACAACGGCCTGGGGATATGATGATAGGAAGGTCATAGAAAAATGTGTCTATGAATTAATGAAAGAAGTCATTTCCAATAGCAGTATGTGTCTGTTAGAAGAGAGAGAATTAAGTAGGGGGGAAGATTCTCTCTACATACTTTTAGGTCATAAGGTTTATCTGGTTACCATGGTAACCAAGGGCCTGTTCTGCCTTTTTGAGGTGTAAGTCGCATTTCGGGGGAAGGGTCCATAGACCCTCATAGTTGGCTTGTTGGTTGGGTGAGAGATGTTAGGAATTATTTAAGTATAACAAAGAATGCTCTTTCAAGGCAACAAGGTAAACAAGGCAGAAACAGTAATCCAAGAGGCAGTGGTCAAACAAAGCAGGCACAATGGTCATAACAATAGGGCTATACAGTGAAAAAAAATTACTCTTGGTAAGTCAGCGAGAACTGGCAATACTGCCATTAAATATGGTACCAAACAGGTAACAAGTAACCAAAAAAAAAAAAAAACAGACAGTATTCTGGAGAGGGTTCCCTGTGGTGATTGGATGGATGTCTACCAACCCCATCCATTACATTTATGACTATTATGTTTTATGTACATTTTTCCAAATGAGATCTTCAGTGCAATCGGTAAAGGTTTGGTAGAAGTCTGTAGGATACTGCAGAGGCATTTGAACATCTTCAAGTGAAAATGTTAATATAAATTTAGTCCCAAATTTTAACTGAATATTTTAAGTAAATATTTCCCTTAAAGGGGTCATACATAGGATGCTACATGCACATTTACAAGTTGTTTGAACTGAAATGTGTGTTGGCAATGTGTGTACACAACCACCCTATAATGATAAAAATCCACCTAGTGTTTTTTTTTTAAAATCTGGTTAAATGTTTTCCCCTTTCTCAAATCGAGGTGATCTCAGGTGACGTCACACAGACAGGCCACTCCCATGATAGTTTGAGTGACAGTAGCGTTTCAGCACAGACTAGACTGGTGTCTTACCTTAGACCCACCCTGAGTGAGCTGTCATCATTCCGCCATTGTTTCGCCGCCGGAGCAGATGTAAAACTTAGTCTTATTAATTGATACATTAGGTATCATTTGCACCTTTTTACAAAGGTGTGTTTGAACTAAGAATCTGATGTTTCCTTCAGGAGGTAGATCTGCTGAATATCAAATGGTTCCAAAACTTCATCCCTTATTTCTCTCCTCTTTAAGAATTGACAGACAGTTGACCCTGAGAGGTCAAGTAAATATCTACAGCGGATCTAAATATTTGTAATTAATTATAACTAGTTATGATTAATTATTCATATTTCCCCATGAGCTGATTTGTTACACCCCTTTAAAGGAAGGGTAGGTGATTTGGATCAAAAGCATTTGTTGGCTAGTGGATAAATGTATATGAGCATTATGATCATATAAATATGTCTCATTTCAGAGCTCCCTCTACATAAAATATGTCCTCAATCGTAATGCAGTTTCCAGTGGATCAGTTTTAGTGAATTTTTACTAGACATATCACCGAGGTTACTTTGGTCAACCAACTTAGTACCATATTCCAGTAATAATTTTGACCACCTTAAGCTGGTATCCATCATTGTAGGGTTTACTTTCAGTGGATGGTCCCATGAATGTCACAGTATAGCTTTAGAATCTTTTGAAAATATGTCTCTCAAAGGCCAAAAAAACCGAATGGTCACTTTTGTTAAATTCCGTATTGACAAAACTGAATTGAACGGGAATTTCAAGTCAAAATTAAAACACATTTTGTGCAATCTGTTTTGAGGAAGCAGTATATGATGTCCGTAGAGAGTGTGGAGGTTGAGAACATTTGTATAGGAGCCTTAACTTACTTTGAAAATAATCTAAACATACAAAGACATTCACATAATGAGGTGGCAGAAGAAGCCTTTGCTTTTGTCAGGCCTATCAGCCTTTGAATAGAAAAAAAGCTTTTTTTAAGTCATAATCATCAAGCGTAGAGTTAGTTCTGGCAGGTCACGTCAGTCAAGCTCACATCAGCTGACTCTCAGCTGATCCCCATCTACCTATGGGAATATGACACCTATCTAAGCATTTATATCTAAGGTCCTTCAGTATTATCAGCAGTTTTCGCATTGATCAATAGCTAATTACTCTCCTTCATCCCCAACTCCTCCTCTGTCAGTCAGGATTCAGCCTTCTGATTCTCCAATTGAATCAGACTAATTCTAAAATTTGTACATAAAATTATTGAATTTTAATGATATCTGCAATACATTTATGCTGGTTCTGTTCTGTTTACTCTGGGGGGTTATCGCTGCTCCCCCTAATCTCATCCATGCTAGGCTGCATGGTTGCACAGAGAGTTCTTGCCCAGAACAGAACCACACCGCCAATCCAAACTGTATGCTAATTGTCAATCATCTTTGACGATAGTGTTCCTGACAGAAATGTTGGGTTTGTGTGAAATAGGATGCAGCAGAGATATTGTGTTCTTCTTTCTTTACAGGCAATTTCATTCCTCACCCCGCTGGCTGTGATATTTGTGGTGAAGATTATACAGAGGACAGACAAGACCGAAATTAAAGAGGCTTGTTTAGGTGAGTGCCCAAACCGTGGTGGTCAGAAGATAGTCATTAACTAATAATATTGAAATTTTTACACAATGGATGTTTTTACAATTATTATAGAGGAATATGTGGTTTAAGATTATTGAAGATTATTCGCAGCAATCTGGAATGCTTGTCACTTATTGGTAAATTGTGGCATACAACATAATGATAATCACGTATCAGACCTCTCATCCAGGTAACTAAAACAGGCTAATTTAATTTCTCCCATATCACTGCAGACTCACTTTCTTTTGTGTTGTTACAAATGCAGCTGGTGACATCTTGCATCTCAATTAATGATTATATTGAAAACTAAATTGGAGGGCTTCAGCATTAATATTACTCTAATATTCTGGTAGTGTTTGTGTTTTTGTGTCTTCAACCCTGCTCCTGGGGACCCACTGTTCTCCAGTGTTTAGCTCCAACCCTAATCAAACACACCTGAAGTACTTATACAAGCAGGTGTGCTGAAGCAGGTTGAAAATAAAAGTTGCAGGACAGTGGGTCCCCAGGAGCAGGGTAGAAGACCTCTGTTGTAATGGATTGTTTTTCATAGACAGAATGTTGTAAGATAATATACTGTACATTTATGTTTATATAACAGTTTTGGCCCTAATCAATATTTCACATAATTACACATAATTATGTATTTGTTGAGTAGCTGTGTAATACATGATCCTTAGCATGCCCATGGTGCATATACCAAACTCTGCTTCATTGTGTAGGATATCAGACCGAATCAGACAATCTAAGATTTGGTCAAAACATGGTTGAAACATGAGACGAATTCCACAGAGGCCCAAGACAACAGGATGTGTCAAGGTTTTGGGTAGAGGATGGAGCGAGGACTCAGTATTACAGAAAAAAAGGGTTTTATTGGTAATAAAAATAAACAAAACGGTAACACAAACTACCCCGTGGGGGAAAAACAGGCTGGCAAGGCAAGGCAAGGCAGGATCTGGACACATCCAGGGATTGACGATGACGAACTGTCGCACGACTGCAAACACAAGGAGAATAAATGGAGAGCAAATGAGGAGGGTAACGAGGGAGCACATGTGGGGCAAATTAACTAATAATCAGGTAACAAGATGGGAGGGGTCAAGACAATTGACATGAGCACATGGCACACCGAATCAAAGACAAAAAGCCATGTGCTCACACAAAACAAAACACATGCACATGGCCAGCAAAACAAATCACAAGCCATGTGCTAGAACAAGAGACACGAACACGCAGCTAATGAGAAAACTCATAAGCCGCGTGTTCACACAAGACAACAAGAAAAGCACGCGGCTGAACACAAACCGCGT